GGGTTAAGATCGAGGCTTTGAACAGGTTATGAAAGAGAAGATATCAAATTTTCTTCTTTTCACGCGAGTACTATATTTGCTCTATATACAAGAACATTATTATCTTGAAAAGTAAAGCTAATATTTTCACTTATGCCTTCTATAAAAGGTAATAAATGAGTTATAACATATTTTTATATACTACGCCTATTATTCTTCCATGTAGTACTATTAAAAGACTAAGCTTATTTTTAGCAAAATAACCCTATATCATTACTTTATTATTATCAGATTTTACTGTAGAAACCAAGCAGTTTATATCATATTTTTCATGAAATTAACGCCAAACACATTGTTGTCCATCATTTTGAAATAAAGAAACTGGGATTCATTACTTCAAATAATATTATCCTATTCTTCATTTTAGATTTTATACTCTTGATACTATTTTAAGCATTTTTTTCTATTATCCTCTGAAATAAAGGGTTTTCTTTTTCTAATTCTGCCAAAATAATTATTTTTATGTAGTATTCGCCTAGTAGTACTATCACTAATTTGAGTAAGATTTAGTTTATTGAAATGTTCAGTAATTTCTTCAAGAAAATCTTTTCTATTTCCCTAATTTTATGTATAAGAGTTTATTTTTCTTGTTTTATTAAAAGAGGTAGTCTTTCAGATTGAGAAGCAACATTTGTGAGACCTTTTTTACAAAAGTTTTTTATTACACTTTGATAAGTAGTTCTTGGTGTTTTTAAAATGCTAGAAATCTCAGAAGCTCTATAATTGCCCTTATAAAGTTCGATAAACATTCTACATTCAAAAATAGTTAGTTCTTTTTTACTTGACATTTTTCAAAAATTTATGTAATAAATAAAACTAAAAAATTTTATTTTATTAAAATACAAGTTTACTGTTAAATCTGAAAAAAAAGCTTGTTAGATCTATGGTAAGAAATTTGAATTTGAAAAAAAATTATACAATAGATTTTTATTTGTCGAAATTAATCTGCTAAAAACTTTTGCTAGGGGGGTATAATTTCAGCTATTTATTAATTACTTTTTTTAGGTTTCGTCCCTCATTTTTACTCATAATACAATTGCATATATTTTCATGATTTTTAAGCGTACTTTCTAATTGTAGTAATATTTACTGAATTAAATACTTGTAAAACAGTTTCTTGCAAGTCATCTCATGTGTAATTACAATAATTTCTTATATAATATTTGGCTACATTCTAGTACATTTTGATAAAATTAAGTTCACAATGAAATTTCAAATAAAAAAATATAAAATGGCCTACATTCTTAATTAATTTTATAATGGCTAATTTTTGTGTTACAAAATCTAATTAAGATATCATAATCTTTTTTGCATAATAATCAACTCTCAAAAATTCTTTTTTCTTGCATATTGAATACTTTAAACTTAATTCTTCCTTTCATAAATCTTTTTGTTGTAATATTCTTTTTATCTCTTTTGGTTTTCTCACAAGACAATATTAGAATAATCATCTGAAAATATCATTTATTGAGTTATCTTTCATTTATCTTTATTAATAAAAGAAGTTAATTCTATGATCAATTATTTTCTCCTAAAATTTAGATTCATTCTTATCACAACAAGAGTATCTTTGGCAAATACTACATGGTTCATATTATTGTTAAAGGTGAAAATAGCTATTGTATTAGAAAATTTCACCTTAAAAATAAGAATTGCTTTGAATTAAATCTGCTCTAATAATTACTTAAAGTCTAATAGCTTTTCTGATTCTTACCAAATAAAGATAATAACAAATTAAGTAGCTAATTAAAATTATTTGAAGATCATATTAAATAAATAAATCAACAGATTATAATTCAAATATTCTAAAAAAAATGCACTTACATTTTACTAATTAGATAATGTATTAAATTTAATAAATTTATAAAGTAATAAAAAAGTTGGATCAAAATGTGATCCAAAAATTAATACATATTTGAAATCCATTCCTATACTTCTAAACTTATCTATAGTAGAAATTTTAAAATTTTTCTCTAATGAGTTTATATCTGAGTCAGTTCTTACAGAAGTTTGTATTTTTTTTTATTTAGTTAAATATTTTCAATATAATTATTAATATATATATTTAAATAATTAGATACTATATAAGAAGAATTATAAAAATTTAATAAAAAATTTTTTTTGATAAGATTTATCTAAAAAATTTAATTAAATATTTATTTGTATATCTGATACTTAATTTTTTTATATTATTTAACTATCTGTTAAAAGTAAGAAATGAAAACAAAAGGTTTCAAAAAAAAAAAAATTCAAAATAATATCAAATAGACAAATATAAAAATTAAAAGTTTACTTACATTTTAGAATAAAAATTTAAAAAAATAGAAGTGAGAAAAAACAAAGATTTATCAAAAGATAGTAAATATAAATATATTGCTTAGTTAATCTTTTGAACAAATTAGAAATAATGTGAAAAAGTTATATAAAATGTACTTGCAAAAAAAAAAGCTAATTTTACTGGTAAAGAAAGTGTAGATTTTCACAAATAAAAGAAATTTTAGTATAAAGCAAAGCTGTTAATCCAAATAATATTACAGATTCTTTAACTACAGATTTTATTTTTGATAATAAAAATTTAAATACTAAGAAAATTATGAAGTTAATGAATCTAAAATAAAAAATAAAGTAAATCAAATTAAAGGTTTATCTGGAATGATTGTTATAATAGAAGAATCAAGAAATAGATTTTATAAAAAAAAACTAGATTTAGAAGAATACAAAATTCAAAAAAAAGGTTTAATTAAAAAAAAAATTTAATTTAATAATATAAAGTAAAAAAGAAAAAACTAGAAATAGAAAATTTATATGTTAAAAATAAAAAGATTAAATTAGAATTATAAATGTTAAAATTTTATAAAATAATGAATAATAAAGCATTTGTTTAATTTTGCTTAAGAAATTTTAATAAAACAACAAAATGTGATATTGGCTTTATTCAATTTGTATTGAATAATTTATGATCAAGTGAATAATGATTTATTATTTAATTTACATCAAATAATTTATCATTATCATTTGAATCGAATAATGATTTTTTATTATTTGATTGATTAAATAATTTTTGATTCATTATCATCATTCAGAATTGAATAATAATTTTATTATTCAATTTGTATCAAATGATTCTTTATTATCATACGAATTAAATGATAATTTTTATCTTTTGATTTGATCAAATGATTTGTTATTATCATTTAGGATTGAACAATGATTTATTATTTAATGATACTTCATTATTATTCAAATTAAATGATGATTTTTTATCATTTGATTTATATTGAATGATTTGTCATCATTATTTATAATTGAATGATGATTTATCATTTAATTAAATTGAAAAATTCTTCATTATCATTTGAACTGTATTGAACAATTCATTATTGTTATTCAGCATTGATTTATTTATTATTTTTATTTTAACTTCAAAATCTTATAACTTTTATTATCGAAATCATATTGATTATTATAATTATAATTATCTTATTTTATAATTTCCCAAGTTTTTAAGAAAATTATATAATACAATTAATACAATTAGTTAAATTAATAGTTGTTTTTAAATTTTTAATAGAGATTTCTTTTAAAACTCTAAATCTAGCTTTCAAATTACCAAATATATATTTTACAATAACTTTATGCTTTAAATGAATAAAATTAAACTGATGTTATCTATGATTAAAAGGATTTTTAAAAGGAGATATCAAAAAGGTAAATTGAATATGCTGAATTACTTAACACATAAAATAACAAGAAGACAAAGCAAGAAGAACTACTTTTATTATTCATAGTTATCATCATCTAGTTTAATTCATTTTTACAGCTAATTTCATAATTCAGACCACTAATAATTGCAACTGAATGCTACCGAAAATATTTTATAATAAAATTACTATAAAATATTGTTACTGAATGCGACTGAAAAATTATTAATCTCCTCCATTATTAATAAGAATAAAGCATAATCCGCATCCTGTTTAATTGACATGATTGGTTAAAATTTAAAAATGGAACAGATCAAATTGCCATTTTTTATTGGAACAGAATTGAACAGGCTATTTTTACAAAAAGTCATTTATATTTGAAAATATTTATATATTAGTTGTTTGTATTAAATAAAAAAAAATTTATCACGTAAATTGAATAAATTTATTAACTAAATAAAGTTTTATTATTATTGATTCACTCTTACGCAAAAAAAAAGTTTATATGCAAAAAGATTGTAAATGTTAAATCGATCTAGATTTATTATAATACAATAAATAAAAAATGATAACATAACATATGATTTGATGAATATGGACTTTCCATAGGGTAGACTAATATAGATACTTTCATGAATCATTTCAAGATTTTCGCCGTAACCTCTTCAATTACTTTTGCTCTTCCCGTCATGTGAAAGTTCCTTACGGTAACGGAATCATCATATCCAATAAAGTTTGTAAACTATAGAAATTTTTCTCAGAAAAATCGAATATAAGAAATCTTAATGTAAGTATTTTATTAAATAAAAGCTAGTTAATCAACTACTGAGTGGACTAGCCCTCACTCAATAAGCCGGCCATCTATTTATATGACTCGCCAATACTGGCTTCCGACAGAACAAGAGTCTGCCGCGGACGCTTTGAATGCAAGCAAGGCCCTTAACAGTTTTGTTTTCAATAAAATCTAGCCGGCCATCTACTTCTATGACTCGCCATTACTGGCTTCCGACAGAACAAGAGTCTGCCGCGGACGCTTCTTTTATGCATAACAAAATCGTTGTTACATATGGAATAATAAATTTTACTCAACTTACTTGACTAAGACAACTTATCCTGCAAAGGAGCAAATGTATTATTATTTCTTGATAAATATTTATTGCTGATTGTCGCGAAAAAAGAGATTTGACTCACGTGATATCGTGTAACCCAACGTTTTAAAAATCGCGTCTGACCTCGCGATTTTGAAAAAAAATTTCAATAATGAAAACAAGAACTCCAAACAAAGTAAATATGAAAGAACAGAATACAACGTGGATGCTCAATTCTCCCAATCCGAGCCCTCTTTGTTTTTTTAGATTTACCTTTTCTATGAATCGTTCGCGGGCTTTTGATACTTATGTTAAAGCTCTAGAATTAGCCTTTGGGAAATGTAAAGATGAGACTGTTAAAGAAAGGCTACTAAAAATGAGAGAAAAGTCTAACGTATATAGCATATTGTATTTTTTTAAAAAAATATATTGATTCAATAAGTTCCTAAATACATTATTCTGCTAAATAGGATGAAATTCAAACAGACTGGGAGGTATGGCTTGAAGAAAGGAAAACGGTATGTATGATCAAGAACTCTACCTACTTTAATCTATAAAATAATATTCATGTTCATGTTTCCAGATTTTATTAAGCCGTTCGATCCAAGACACAAATATAGCTGTGCAAAATAGACTTAATACCCGCGTAGAAAACCAGGTTAGTTATAATTTAAATTTTGATTTTATACAATCAATCATATTTAAATTAAATTTTGGAAAATCCTTATTACAGGGTACACTGTTAACAACGCCAACAACGTTCAATAAACCTAATAAACTTACAATTGATATATACGATGATGATGAAAATGATGTAGAAAATTTTGAAGATAAAAGAGATTTATTGATAAGTTCTACAGTGATAACCGATCCTAATGAGGAGGTTCTAGAATCGCTCGCAACTTTGTTTGAATCTTCCCAAGAAGATCTTATTTTATCTATTGCAGAAGAAAGCCTTGACAGAGAGGAAATAGTGATACCAGATGTTACGAAACAGTTTCTAAAGGTAAGTTATTAGCAGTTTGTTGTGAATTGTTGTAGAAAACTAAGGCCGTTTATTCTTTATTTTAGGAAAATAAACTTGTGTTATCAAGTCAATTAGATGTTTGTGCGTACTTTCGTAACATGCGTTTAAAGATCCCGTTGAAAAATAAGATCTTGAATCCAGCTTATTATGGAATCATTGATTTAACTGGACAGCATATTGAAACTAAGACATCATTTGCTGTTGAAGACTGGGAAGAACTTCGGAATATATTTGGTACCATTGTTCGATGGCAATATATTCTGACGCCTGAGCATTTCACCGAATATTTTGATAAAAATTTTACATTGCCTTCTAATCCAAAGGATGAACTAAGAACCTTCCATAAAGCAGTTGAATTCCTGTAAGTCAGTTTTTTCGTTCTGCTTTATCAATTCGATTTGATACCAACATTCTTTACCTTCATCATAGACGGACAAGCTACCCTATCCAAAACACAATGTCTGAGCAACACGCAACGCATGCACTATATTACCCCTTAATTAGTACAGTCCTCCGTAATGATGCCATATCACTATTGGATTGGTAAGCACAAAATAACTTTGTCTTCAAGTGTTTTGTACAAATTTATAATGGTTTATAATAATTATGCTATTTTTTTTAGGGGGGAAATTATTTCATGTTCAAGCTCTGATGCAAAAAATGACATTATCAGTCCCGAGAAGAAAGCAAAGATTGGTCATAAAGTTGACCTCAAAATTACTTTGAAAACTCCAAATTATAAGTTGCAAGCTGTACATGGTGAAATATCTGGGGGAATCAAGAATGGAAAGGCGGAAGCTTGCAAGCGTAAGCAATGGCTTGATAAACTCAAGCTTATGATCATGATGCGAGATGAATTGAATCAGATCATCAAATATTACACCCAATCAAACGCTGATTTCTTATATTTTATTGTGTACGGTATTCAAGTGATTGGTTCGTAAAATATTATTTTTTTTATTGGGAATATCAGTGTTATCATGTTTATAAACTAAATTGATATGATTTTTTTAGGGTTTCAATTAAACGTTTATGCAATGACATGGTGTAGTGGAGGTGTTTACCTTTTTGGATTAGTTGATAAATGTCTAATACCAGGCGATTTGGAAACATTTTATTCGTTAGAAGAAGTATATGTAATTCTCAAAACTTTGCAAATGAAAGTTAAAGAAACTTCAAATGTGTTAATTTTCATTGAACAGAAACATGCAAAAAAAAGACGGCGACCTTTGGCACCTTTTGATAAGAAACAATGTGACCTTGAAAATGATCTTGTACTCACTCGAACACCAAAACATCGGAGGACTTTACAATGTAGTATGTGAATGAATTCACAGTTTCATGTGACTTGAGGCTTGTTCCTACTCCTTTTTAATTTATTGGTCGATTTATGAATTTCTTATGAAAGCAATTGTATAAATTAGTTTTCTGAGCAGTTAGGATGTGTTTCTCATTACTAGAAAAATCATCATATAAATAAATTTGTAAAATTAAATAATGTCGTTAAATAAAATGATAACGAAATTCAAATTTCACCATCTACATCTACAGGTTCAAAATATTAGTTTTAAAGGAAGTCAGTATGGTGTCATATAAAGAAAGGCTTTAAAATTCATCGTGTCAAATATTTGATTTTGAAGGAATGAAACCGTTTGATAAATGATTAAATAATAATGGAAATTTATATCTTTGAGAGCAAATACATCAATTACTATCTAATTCATTCATTACTACCCAAAAAAAAAATTAAATAATTAGTCAATTTTATCAATTTGTATAATTAAAATAATTGACCCATAATTGTTTTTAAATTTCATTTGCGACATTTTTTGGTAATTGTAACGTCATCTTTAATTTTGCAGAACGGTAATTTCTCCGATCACAAATCGGACCGATCCGGTCCAATCTGATTCGATCCAACCTTCAGAGATCGTTATCAGATGAGCAGTGTAACATAAAATCATAGCCTCTCAAAAGTTTTTTTATTTTTTATAAAGAAAAAATGACCAATGTTAAATTACAATTTGCAATAACTGCATTAGGAGCAAGTCTTGCAACGGGAATAGCGATATTTTCGTATCAAAATTATAAAAAGAGATTACGAGCTGAAGCTCTTAAAAGGGAAATTGGATCAATACCTCAAACAACCCGTAGTTTACGTTTAAATGGCACCAAAAGTGAAATAGCATTTGACGAAACACTAATTAAAGAACAATTAGCGAGAAATATCGCTTTTTTAGGGGAAGAAGGTGTGGAAAAATTAAGAAAATCTTTTGTAATTATAGTGGGAGCAGGGGGGGTTGGTTCTTGGGCTGCTTTGATGTTGATTCGATCTGGAGTTTCTCATATTAGAGTAATTGATTTTGATCAAGTAACATTGAGTAGTTTAAATAGACATGCAGTAGCAACTCATTCTGATGTTGGTACACCAAAAGTAATCGCATTACAAAAGCACTTGAAAGAAATTGCTCCTTGGGCAAAAGTCGAACCTATAATTGAATTATTTAAAAAAGATCATGCTGATCAATTGTTAGACGGTAATGCTGATTTCATTGTTGACGCTATTGATAACATTGACACAAAATTATATTTACTTAAATATTGCCATGATCAAAACTTACCGGTAATTCTTATAATTCTTTTCTATACAATTAATAAACGTTAAAACATTTATGTTTAAATAAATAAATTTTAGATTATAAGTTCAATGGGAGCAGGAGCCAAAGCTGATCCTTCGCGCATTCAAATGAGTGATATTAGTATAACCATCGGTAATATTACCAGTTGTGTTTATTAACGTTTTTTTTTAATCGGAAATTATATGAATATAATGATTTAATTTATATATTTATAGAGGATCCGCTTGCTAGAAGAGTTAGACGTCGATTAAAAAAAATGGGAGTTGAATCAGGAATTACAGTTGTTTATTCAACTGAGAAACCAAATGTCAAATTACTGCCTCTAGGTTGATTTCCTCTCTTGTAAACATATCATGGTGGATGTGAAGCTTTTGGTCATTACTGAACGAGTTTTTTATATGTATTTATATATATAGATGAAAGCCAAATACAAAATGCTGGAGAATACGCGACTTTACCAGATTTCAGGTCTCGAATTCTCCCAGTATTAGGTAGATCAAAATGACGATTGGTTCGAATTAATTCGTGATATATAATAATTAATTTTTTAATTCTAGGTACAATTCCCGCCATCTTTGGTATGTCGATTGCTACATATATTGTAACCAAGATTGCTGGTCATCATATTGAGCCATTATCCAATAAGAATCGCGATGGATTATATACACGATTACACCGCGACTTACAAAACAGACAACGAAGGATCTATAATATTGAGTGAGTCAAAGCGTTTATTTTAATCAAAAGAAAACTTCATTGTATAATGATTAATTTAATTCAAAATTAATTATTTCTAGCGCAATTCCTTTGGATGTACATGAAATTGGATATATTTTTGAAGAAATTTGGAGAGGCAAAAGTGCTATCTCAGGTTCAACCGAAAAACCCGCAATTACAAGGTGGCATAAAGATCAACCATTATGTCCACAAAATTGTGTTGTTATGACCAAACAAGAAGCTGATGATCATGAAAAACTTACTATAAATCCTGAAGAACATTATCGTCCTGATGTTGTAACATTGGTTCAGAGAAGATTTCAAGAAGAAAAGGAAATTTCTAATTTTCGATGAAATCATTATCGGATCACATAGTTAATTAGTATTTACTCGGGAATTAAAGTTTATAAGGGATTAAAATTTTATTTCTTAGATAAAGCGAAATTATATTATATTCATATAATCTCGAAAACATTTTAAATTTTAAAAACCATTGAGTGATTTAATTTTCCAAAACCTACTTCCGTCAGGATCGATACTAGGTCGATCGTGCATAACTAAACCGAGACATGTCAAAGATTTTTTTTTATGAAAACCACAAGACATCTTAGTAATACATATTATAATTGTGATGATCTAGTTCTAAAGGATTGTTTCTAAAGTAATAATGAAAATTTTCCTTAAATTGATAAACATGTGTCATTTTCAGATAAGGAATAAAATCTTGATCACCTGTTGGACAAATAGATACCTGAACTTGGGTAAGGGAGATTACACAAAATGATGCCATTTGATAATTTTTTTGATTGGCTGAATTTGTTTCGATCTAATGGAACTCGAATTGGAAGGCAATCCAAAATCATCTGGAAGATCATTAAAATTTTTAGAATATCGTTATGAAATGTTCCTTTTTTTATTGACTAGAATATATTTGGATCGGATCATTAACTAGAAGAGAGGGTTAGTATGCTAGTATTTGAATTTAATTTCCGTAATTCGAATTCTTTCAGTCAATAAACGGGAAAGTGAATCATGCACTCTATCAAAAAGCAGTAAGGTCACATGAGATAAAAAAATTTTCCAACAAGGTCGCGCTACACATATTACGTGCTAAGCCACCCAAAAATTGTGGTTTATAAGTTGAATGAAATTCCCACTCTTTACCCAAATTTCATAATTTTCCTGATCAAATTACTTTCTAAACAACTTACTCTCTAAAGAAGACACCAAAGAAAAAAAAAGATGGAAACAACGCTAAACACTTTTGAAGTTTCAGCTACTTTATCAAGTCGCGAAGCAAATAATATTATTTACTTTCCTGACTTGGTAAATCCTCCCTTAACAAATAGTTTTATTGATAAAACGGTTGATATGGATATAGATTACCCTTTTGAAGATGAAAATGCTTTAGAAGAATTTATTATCGCTGAAACTCAAGGATTTTTGGTTAAGTTAGAACGCGAACTACGTCCAAGACCTCAATTTTATGCTTTAACCAGACCGGGAACTAATCCAGGTTTTTATGGTGCTGGCAGAACTGAAACATCGGATCCAATTATTGAATATATTAAAAGTAATACTTGTAGTCCATTTAAAGAAAAAGAGAAGAATGAAGAAGTTACTGTTGAAGTAAAAAGCAAAGTCGAGAAAAAAGAAAGGAAGCAAGCTAAACAAAAAAAAACCAAACAAACAAAGATAACCAGTTTTACTATAAAATCTGGCAGGAAATCTACTAGTTGTGACGAAATATCTGATTATAATGGAGAAACACCTCAAAAACAAACGACAAGAAAGAAAAGTTTATCAATAGAATCACCTTTAGGAAAGAAAATAAGTACTAATTCCGAAGCTGAAGGAGAAGAAGTATCAAAATTACCAGAAGAAATCAACACAGAAAATAAACGCGATGCGAAAAAAGGTTCGGGAAGTAATAGAGGTCGACCGAAAGGTTCTTTGAATAGAAATAAGAAGAACTTGCCTTCAAAGAAACAAAATTCTCGGAAAAGTGAAATTGATACTTCGAATTCTAGTTTGACTTCAATTTCACCAAATGATTCTCCAACACCTAAAAAGCGTAAATATAATCGTGTCAGCGAATCATCTAAAAAATCAAATACGTCACCTTCAACGACACCTGCAAGTGAAGGTGGGTTAGAGATGATATTGAACATGGACCATTTTGTTGTTAATAATACTACAGCAACGATGAATTCTGTTATGACCATTGTTTCTTCGCCTTGAACAAAAATTCCCTTGAGGAAATTTACGGACATGGTGTCACGTGACACAACAAATTCTTTTCGATATACCAAACAAATTGTCGGGGATAACATGAATGAACTTCCCTTACAAAACATTGGAAATTGTGTTTTGAAAAGTAATAAAAAAAAATTGGTTCCTCTTGTTAATTGGCTTTACCATATTTTCTTATGCTAATTATAAATAATGTCGTGCGATAAATTTCTCGCAAGTTATTTATTTGTACAAGTTTGAAAACAAACAATTGGGGACAAGAATGAGATAATAAAATTATTACAAAAGTTCAAGACAAAGCGAAGCCCTGCATAAAAAATTCTGTTTTATTGATTTTTTCCGTTTTCTCTTTAAAATAAGTGTAACCAGCATGACCTGATTAACATAATTAGCCCACCTTTTTTTTTATTATTATTATTTTTTTTGTGAAATACAAAGATGAGATATTCATCTTCATTTACTTTTGGCCTTTTCACAAAGAAAATGTATTATAATTTCTTTTACAACAGGTTTTCATTCTCTTTATGAAAGGTTTCATTCAAAAAATTTTTTTGCTTTATTATAATTTATATAGAGATAAATAGATTAAAACTTTTTTTTTTGAGATAATATGGTTACATCCTTTTTTTCTTCGAAACATCCGACTTGTAAACATCACGTGATTTACAGCATATACACGTGATGGCGGAGCACAAATACTTTTGCGCTTTGTTACACGAGATGAAATTGAGTCGATGCTACACAGTTTCCGAAACCATTAAAAATATAAGGGGGTCTAGGATGATAAAAAAAATTTTTTAAATTATTGATATGTTAAGAAGAACAGTTGAAAATATTTCTCTCATTCTTGGTGGAGCATGTCTAGGAGCAGTTTGTTATCATCAGTATGAAAAGTTACGACTTAAACCTCCAGTTCCGCTTCCAGCTTGGAAATCACAACCCATAGTAACTCAAAAAATACCTAATGCTGGTGAGTTTTCAAAATAAAGGTAAGAGATTAAATAAATCATTTTATTTTTATTTTTAATAAAAGAACCTGGGAAATTAATTCGATGTCTTTTGTATTCATGTAGGACCAATTGCTGATTTATTACAAAGAAAAGCTTATTCTTCTTCATTTAATCGGCAATTACGTCACCCTAGTTGGGTTAGTTCATTTAAAGAATCTGTTCGAGAATCCGAAATAGTGTTAATATTTTCTTTTTTTTAAAGGTGTTGGAACATATTACAAAAGAAACTTTGATTCGAGGGGAAGGAGTTGATCGTTCCAAATCAAGATTTCAAGAAGATAAAGATATACCAGAAAAATTTCGTGCTAAATTACTTGATTATGTAAGATCAGGATATGATCGTGGTCATATGGCACCTGCAGCTGATGCCAAAACTACACAAGAAACATTGAATGAAACCTTTCTCTTAACCAATATAGCTCCACAAGTTGGTAATGGTTTTAATAGGGATTGTATGTATAAACATGATCATGTTACTATACTTTTATTTAAATATATTTATTTATTCAATTTTTTTCTTTTCCTTTTAGATTGGGCACATTTTGAAGAATTTTGTAGAAGGTTGGTCACTAATGAAGAATTTAAAGATGTTTATGTTTTTACTGGACCAGCTTATTTACCAAAAAAAGATGAAACAGATCAAAAATTTTATGTGAAATATGAAATTATTGGTAATCCACCAAACATTGCTGTTCCAACACATTTTTTTAAAGTGATATTAGCAACCAAGGATGATCCAAGTAAACCTGAGGGTGAATTGCATGCTTTGGGCGCTTTTTTATTACCAAATGATCGTATATCAAATACTACACCATTGCAAACTTTTGATGTTCCTCTTGATGCTTTAGAAAGAGTGACAGGGTTGACTTTCTTTGATCAAGCTATTAAAGATTCATCGATTCATCTTTGTAAGGTATCAAAATGTATCCTTGTCGCTAATTCAAAATACGTTAAAGAAGAATTGAGATCTGCATTGCCAGAGCCTTCAAAAAATAATATGTCATCATTAAAAAATTAAACTTATTCAAATATTTATTTATTTATTATATATATTTATATTTATATTTATATGTAGATTGCAAATTGCATAAATAAAAACCTTTATATATATTATACATGATCTGTAATACATTTTCTTTATACATATACATATATATATTTTTTAAAAAATAAACATAAATAATTAAATACAGAATACAGAATACGAAAAAAAAGATATAATTACAGAAAAAAAAGAAAAAAAAAATAATAATAAATGTAAAAAAGAACCACTTCCTCAACGTATATGCTATATTAATTATCAATGACATGTCGTTCGGTCAGTCCAATGAAAAGACCACTGACATTGACATCACAAAATCCTCTCATTGTAATGTTGTCGCTGATACTGTATTATTGGTTTTGTATGAAATTTTGGAAGTTTCATATGTCTGTTGCGTATGAAGTTGTTGCTGTAATCCCCAGTGAATATAATTGGCAAATTGTACAATAAAATCTACTTGTCTACAAAAATGAAAAATTGATATTTAGAAAACGTGACATCAATGAATGGAGGGGAAAAAAACATCAACATACTGCATGGTTTCGATAGCTTTTGGACTACGCCTCATTCTCACTAATCGAATCGCACGATCAGCGTCAAGACAAAATCGTTTCTTAAGTAACCAACAACATGCCACCAAACCAGCACGCCCAACTCCTAAAAAAAAAATTTATTTTTTAAAAAAAAAAAAACTAAAAATATTAAAATAATAATAATAATAATAAATAAATTGATCCTTACCACCACGGCAGTGCGCCAAAATTTTTTGACCTTGATGTATATGTCGATCCATTTGTGTCACAACCGAATCGATCTGTTCTAATGAATCCGGACAGCCACCTTCTATCATTGGTATCCTATAGATTATATTGATTTCTTAGTTTATCTTATGACGATAATCATAAATTTTAATGGATTAATAAATAATATAGTACCTGATGACTTGAAGGTTATGTTTCAATGCCAATTCATTATATTTCGGCCATGGCGCACCCAGAAATGCTAATTCGTCATCATTAAGACAGCTAATGTTCCAAAAATAAATATTTATTAAAAATAGAAAATGGTGTTATAAATAGCTATGCTGACGTAATCCAATTATTAATGTATGGTGAAATACTTTCACATTGAATAAAAATTATTTTTAACCGAGGCATTTCTTTAAAACTTTTAAACTTACCATACGATCATCGATATATCTAAAGACTTTAATCTTTGAAAATCTAAATCTAGATCGCGATCGATCGTTGCTCGACCTCTTACAGGTCCACTAAGTCTGACTTTTTTACCGGGACATGAACTTAACGCTAGATTACCAAGCATTGAATAATGTGTCGAACGAGAAACTCCATAACCGGAGTGCTTGTGCACTTGGTCATAATAATGTTGATAGAGAGATGCTGTTGTGTATACATCAAAAAGATCTATCGACGGTGATAATGGATCTAAAGTGAGACCATCAGTTAGTTCCTCCGGTACTATCCAACTAATGCTTTTTTTTTTTAAAAAAATATGAAGGGTAAATTAGAGAACGTAAGTATATTCAAACACGGTTGCAAGGAAAAATATTCTGTTCAACAAATAACACGACACGTCTTGGCGAAGAATACAACTTTATGCTTACTTGATGGGGTGGGTCATTGACGTTTTAAGACTGACCCGAGGTGGCAAATTACAAGACGCGGTATTCCTATAACTAATAGAAGGAACCGGTGGAATAGTTTCTGATGTCGAAGTCATATTAAAATGTAAATTTGAAGGCGAATTTCGCAAAAATGTTTCAAGAAAAAAATCTCAATATAATAAATAAGCTTAGGAAGTGGGGATATCGGAATAGTGCTTTCTATATGGTGTATGAAAGTAAAAAAAAAATAATATTTTCGAGTAAAGTCTTTGTTAAATAGTAATTATATACGAAATGAGGGTAAGACTTGTCATACTTTAATCATTGCATATCCAAATTTAACTTTTGGCTGGCCGAGCTTTTGATATTTAGTTTCGTTTCCTTATCACAAAATTAGTAATATTAACTACACTAAAAATAAGTGATTTTCACGGGCACGTTCAAATGTCATTTTTTTTGTGCACAATACTTTTTGCCGCCATCAAACGCCGAACAAGAATAAAACTTATATATAATTCTAACCATAAATATCTCTCCTATTCGACGGGGAGGCTATATAATGGATAATTCGTTTTTTTTGATAATCTTTAATTTTTAACTTTCGAAAGCATCACCTGTCTTTTCGTTCTTTCGAGTGGTTGTTTTTCCATTGATCAGCAGATCACACATTGTATCATTATTTACTTATAATTATTACATTGTCCACAAGTAAAGAATTTAACGAAACATTAGTACATGCAAATATTTTATTGCATGGCACTACAAAATTTTGACTAAATATAAAATCCGAAATTATTATTTTCCGTAACATAACGAGAACAAATAGAAAGACCAAAAAGAACAAGTGTAAAATTTAAATGTAACCAATAATCTAAATAATCTAAGGAGACAAGTCTTTATTTATGTTATCAAAATAATCATATCTATTATTTTTGTTCGATTTAGTTTAAATAAACCAAATTTAAAAAAGAAACTTTTTCCAAAAATCAGTATTACATTTTGAAATTTTCTTTTATTACTCAGAAAATACGTTGTGTTCTCGTGACAATGATCATTTTACTGCGGCGAAACTTTAATTTGATAACGTGACCGTGAGACAGGATCAAATCCATGGATCAGAGTACAGCGTCCATGACAGTGGCGGTTTTTACATAAAACATCAAGTAATTCGATTATGTCAAAATCATTTTACGCGACTTACCTTGGAAACGATCAACAATATTTTAACGTCGCGGTAGCCTTTCTTATCCTATAAGAAAAGAAGTATTGGTGAATACAATGATGCTTGTTTGTGATGCATCTACCATAATTT